GAACAAAGCCTGGAGTATATGCTACATCATACTCAGTTTTAAAGAAGATTCCCCAGCATCTCCATGCAGTTCCAGTATTTTACAGATCAGAAGAGTTTTCCAGTCAGGTTGTTGTTGGTTCCAACATTTGTACCGGAATGCAACAACACCAACCCCAGCCCCCAGTATTCACCCAAGACTTTTTAAGAAAAACACCTGGAGTATGCTACATCATACTCAGTTTTTAAAGAAGATTCCCCAGCATCTCCATGCAGTTCCTGTTCCAGTATTTTACCGACCGGAAGAGTCTTCCGGTCAGGTTGTTGTTGGTTCCAACATTTGTGCCGGAAAGCAACAGCACCAACCCCAGTATTCCMCCAGTTGTGTGCTTTGGCTCAGCTGGATCCATCCCCAGTTCTCAAGCGCTGGAAGCTCAGTGCTTTCCGGTCACRATTGCTGTTGTTTCTGACCTCCATGCCAGAAAGAAACAGCACCAACTCCAGTATTCCTCCCCCAGTTGAGTGCAGTTTGCCTCAGCTGGATCCATCCCCAGTTCTCAAGGAAAGGAAGCCCCAGTGCTTCCGGTCATGATTGTTGCTGTTCCTGTCTTGTGTGGTGGACAGAAACAGTAACAACCCCAGTATTTAACCTCCTGACCAGCGGTGACTGAGTTAGTGGATTTATTCCTAGTTTCTTCTTCAAGAAGATATTCAAACAGCTGCTCCTTTGGGCAGGACCAGCTGTGATTTGGTGAAAGAAGTATGACGTTTCCTTTTTTCTTTTTCTTTTTGGCTTTTATTATTTTTTATTTTTGACTACAAGTGTCCTTGACCACTGTGGTGTCGACTTGCCTTAATTGGCTTGGCAGTGTGTGTGGCACACATTTCCTTGRTCACTGTGCGTGGTAACTTGCCTACAAGTTGGGGCTTGAGCACCCCCAACCTACAGGCTTGGCAGTGCCCCTTTGAAATGATAATGCCATGGTTCTCATCCATCCAAACTGTGAACCAACTGCTTTTATGTCCTCTGAGTCGAGCCTTGGGCTGTCATTGGCCTATAAGTGTACATAGAACTTGGTTGTGCCTCCACAAAACCTCCTCAGAGGGAGGCGCCGCCCTGTAGAGCAGCTAGAAGCATTCTTTCTAACAAAAGCTATGGTTCTGGTCATCTTAGTGCCTCTTCTAGTTCACGAGGTTAAAAATGATATTAAGATTATTTTTTTAAGTAGTAGTAAAGGTGCACTTCTGGCATGTATTCTGGTCCAGAGGAATTACTTGACTTCTTTGCTGGTTCTTCTTCAACTTCAAAATGTATTTTTAACTCATCACCATTTTTTTCCTTTGATCAAATAACTCTAAATTCATGGGTTCTTATTCATGAGGTATTTTGTGGGCTATTTTTGAAATTGTGGGTTTTCAGGGTTGAATTCAAAAGGGGGGATGTTAGTAATTCTTTAGGACCCTGATTCTGCTTGTATTTTGAGAKTGTAGCTACTAGTAATAGGTACTAATTCCGAGTAAAATGCGTTAACCATAAAAACCCTACCACACTCTACTGGGCAAAAAGGCATTCTACTCAAACACCAAAAATTATTACCAGTAAAATCGCGGTTGATTTTTAAGCCCAGTTTTTTAGTACTTACATCTACTAGTTTTTGGTCACTTTTTGGACTACAAACAGTTCAATAAGCTAAAAGAATAGCTGAACACAACAGCTCCAGAAAGGCCTGTAATGAGATCCCCTTTGGGGATATTYTYGGTCATAGTGTTAAGAAGAGTGCTGTGTGATATTGTTACACGATTGGGGGCCAGGGGGGAGCCGGTTCTCCATTAACAGCTGGTATGACCAAAATTGGCCAGTTCCCAAGACTGGCTGCATAGTAGGAAATAGGCCACCAGAACTCTATCAAAAAACAACTTTTGACCACCAGACTAAGYGTCCAGACCAAGATGATACAATTACTTACAGATCCAGGTCATCGAGAAGCCAAAGGATGCTCTAGTAGCGGCTTARAACTAGTCAGCCAAAGTTACAGTAGTGGGTGGCAAAAATTCATGCATTAATTCTAGCTGTAATTTTACTCTGAGTGTACGTGCGAGTACAAGTACAGGGGTCATAATTTAGAGGGGTGCGCAACGCATCAAAAACTCATATTCCATCCRTGGCAGGAATAAGAAAATTTTAACCCCAGGGATTTTTTTCAATTTCATTTTTACTGCATAATACTAGTAAATCTATCCAACCKTTAAGCAGTAACAACATTATCAAAAATACTACCATTAKAATTTTTKAGTACTTTGTATAMCTCAGTTTTTCAYGAGGATTCTGAATATGCCAATATTTTCAGTGTCAAATGGAATGATAGTGTACCTTTCCACTGTTGAATATTGACTAGATTATTAGTAGAAATTACTGCTGGGGAATTAGTGGGAGAAASGGATGAAGGACAGACAGCTCGAATTTTTGCTAAGGACTAGACTGGTGGGACTGACTGGACAAAGGRCATTATTTCTACTGTAAATACAGTACTAGTCTGTACTAGCCTATTACTATCACCAGCCCTGTGTCAGCAACTTAAATTTTGAACCGCAGATACTAGGAATAAGAGGAGTGAAAATATACTTACTTCTTGCCTCTCAACTATGTGAGAGATGTGCATGTGAAGTTTGAAAATTAGAGAGTGATTAGAAGTGTTCCCGTGCATGGGGTCTTTCAGGTACACTTTTTGCAGTGATATGCAGTAAAAATGGAATTGAAAAAAATCCCTGGGGTTAAAATTTTCTTATTCCTGCCATGGATGGAATAGAATCTTTTCGTCCTGATGCTSAAAAATGCATGCTGAAAAATGCGCGCGTTGCACACCCCTCTAAATTATGACCCCTGTACAAGTACGTACGTACGTACTGGTAGGTACTTCACTCCTCAATCAAGGTTTGAAATGCGTACGGTAGTATAGTACGTACGTACCATACTCACAGTCCAAACTTCACGGTCACTTTCTKTTACGTACGTATCTCCTACGACACATAGGTACTTGTACCGATACAGTACCGTACTCTGTAACATATTCACGGTCATAAACTACCGATATGCAACTATGGAGTACCTCTGAAACATTACTTCAAAGTCCTGTACGTGACAACGTTGTAAGCAAGTCACGCCTGTTCTGACTACTTAGGGGACATGGGGTGCAACATACAATTATGTCAACATTATCGACGTTCAAAAAAGCATGACGAGCTTTTTGTCTAAGTACGAATATTTGGTCATCAACGCCAGCAAGGAAAAATTACGCGGCAATCCTCAACGGCGCTACTGGCATTATTGTTGCTGCATCCAACATAACATTAATGTTGTCCGCACGCGGGCATGGAGTGCTCGATGTACTCAGTAAAACAGGTGTTTTCATCATGGAACAGCCCTATTTACATTATTGTTACTGCATCAACCTTCCTTTGAAATCCTCTTCATCAACGTCTCGAGTCCACAAATATTCAATTTGTTGTGTGACTTCATTGAGGTGACGAAGTCGTTTCTACTACACCATTTGGAAGTCATTATTTCTATAACAGCAGATACGAAACATTTGTGTCTTTTCCAACGTAAAGGTTCTGTACCGACGTTAAGCAATTGTTAATCATGTCCGCCCAAGTTGCAACAACGTCCGTAGAAGACGGTGGACCTAGCAAAGCGGACAATCGCATTTTTCCCAGTGCAAGCATTGATCGTTGCGACATTGAAGGGATCGAAGGAGGATCTCGAAATATGAAACAGCATTCTCAACCAGACGAGTACCAGATGCGTCAAATTAGCAATGATAATGACGAAGGGGTAGAGGTGGTTCTTGAGGGCAGTGGAAAGTCTAGCGTGATTGACTCACCACCACATCGTAGCCAGGATCAAAATGTGTTTCGAGCCCCACATCCGGTGCGACCCAAASCAATCCGGGGAGTAGGTTACCCATCATCGGCACAACATGGTTCTGGTTCGTATGGCTCCTACGGGCACCCTCCGCCTCCGCACTCTCATCCAGCTGCACCGCACGGGGATTACAGGCACTCATATCAGCCAGTTCCTTACGCGAACTCAGGCTCCTTTGACCAGCAAGACAATAATGGGTCCCCGTACCCCGGGGCACCGACAACTTCCCAGTTCAGTCCACATGTACAATATCCTCCACCTGGAGGAAGGCGTCCTGAGGATCTAAACGTGATCTCACCTAATCACAAGGATCTCCACGCCTCTCACCAYAATGGACCTCGCCGCAATCCAATCCATCCAGGYGGTCCACCTCACCATCCTCCGTTGACCCCTAGAAGCACCAGTAGTCGTTACCCTCCACAATCTAGCTCGTCGTCATATCACTATCCACCGGCTTCCCCTGTGAGCCGATCAGCTGGAAATGGATCCTCTCCCCCCCGAGTAAGGGGTTATGGCATGAGAAGACCAGAAGGGCCTTACTCGGCTGCCCAACGAAGTAGAGATGAAGGCAATGGATCCTGGGGCTACCCYACCCCGGACAGGCCTCGTCCTCCAGTAGTGACTGAGTCTTCTTTCGATTCCGAGCACTTCCCACCTCACAGTTCTTCGCACCCTACAACTCCAAATGCACCGCATTACGGAGGCCGCCCGCCCCATTACAGCCAATACAGTGATCCATCGCCACCGCACTACGGAAGTTCGGGATATCCTGGGTCTTTTGAGCACGGTAGCAGCTTTGACAGTCACCATGCATCGTACGGAGCACAATCTGAATCTCCACGGCACGGGAGACATTATGATCACGATCGATCTTACTATGGACATTCTCCTTCGTCTCACCCACCCCATCAATCTGAGGTGTCGCCATATTCGTATGGATACTCCCCAGGCGGAAATAACAATGGCTACTACGATTCATACTCGCCCCATTCTGGACACTACGGTCGCCCTCCCCCAAGGTCTTACGATGAGCACGATCACTACMATCATCATTATCCTTACCATCCTCATCATCAATATCATCACCACTACCAGGCAAAAAAGGATGAGAAATCAGGAATATTACTTCCGAAGGCAGCTTCTGAGGTAGACTTCGACATCAGTGATCCACCCCTTGAGCCCTCGACACCAGCATCAAAACAGCCGGTGTGTGAATCTCCCGCAGATGTGAACTCATATGACGTCCTTTGTGGACGCGGCGGTGGTACAAACTCACAAGTAGGGAATCGCCGCTTTCGCAAGCTGGTTCAAGAATTTCAGCCAATCTATCTCTTGGCACGGCGCAAGGAAAAGCCCCTTTTAGCCCGAACCATTGTGTTGATTATCAGAAAACGTGGTGGGCGGTTTCTAAAGAAAGATGAAGAAACTGGAGAACTTTACGAAGTTGGAGATGCAAAAGCCGAAGCGAAGACTTCACAAGCTCTCAGAGAAGGTCTAGATGTAAGAGCGACGAAGAGCGCGGCGAGTTCTCTCATGGACAAGAAAAAGAAGAAGTCAACTGCGAAGTCGTCACCGAAAGAAAAGAGTGCTGACAAGGAAAAGGAAGAAAGCAATGCTGAACGTAAAAACGCCTCTTCGAACTCTCCTGATGACGCTCCAAAAGATGATGATGCAGCAACTTTGACTAAATCTTCAGAWAAGATTGAAGCAAGCACTGACAAGGCTGTCGTGAGCCCACCGGGTGCAGGTCAAACATTGAAGAAGGAAAATGATGAAAATGATCGAACCAACACTCCGATCAAGACGCGAGTTGATTCTCCTCCCTCACTTCCAAAACTCAACAAATGCGAGTCGCAGGCCAGTGAGGCAGGAAAATCTTCCGAGGGTGGTTCATCCTCGAAAGCACCCCCCTCCCCGGAACAGATCCAATTTAGGAAACGTCGTCGAATGAGATCAGCTGATGGTAGCACTGAGCCCACGACAGGAACTTGTGGTATCACAAATCCTTTTCAGGAAGATAAACTTTTTCCTGATTTTTGCCCTCCAAGAGCAGATATTGCGCGTGCCGGAAGTCCCGCACCGCGACTAAGTGAGAATGATGTACCTCACATGGCCATGTGTGGGATGACTCCTGTCGGACACAACGCCTCCAAATTTGCTGACGATGACGACATTCGATATGAAGAAGATACAATCCCGGGGGCGCCTCGTGCAGGTTGTGCCGGAATCGCGTTGGATATGGTGACGGGAGCAGCAGCTGGGAGCTTTTGCTTGGGTCCGCGGGTTTGGAGTAAGAGAGATTGATGTGGAAAGCCTAGCGGAAGTGTATGAAAAGAAATTCATTGTTTAGCAAAGATGAGCATTTGAGCTTCGTTATCATGAACTATGGTAGGGATTATTCCGTAGTTTAAGAAATTTTTAAAGCAGATACAGTCTATTCTAACCTCGTGTGACGATGTTCTTCACGTTGGTGTTGTTCTGATGAAAACTAGTTCGAGATATTGACTGCCTTGATGTTGCTTCCTTGATTGTTGTGCTTCGATTTTCTTTGGAATGTTGTGAAGATTCTCAGATTTGATCATAACAACATCGGAAATGGGCTTGCTTCGCGAAGTATGTAGTTCCACCACCCCAAAGAAGAGTTAGCTACTACTACTAGAATTACTGTAGTAGTACTAATAGTAGTAGAGCAGAAACAAGAGGCAAAGAACTAGTATTGGTAGTATTAGTGGTAGTCCTAGTAGTACTGATGACTACAAGGACTACTCCTACTTTGTAGTAGTAGTACTACTAGTAGTATTACAGATGCTGCAGTCAGTAGCACATCATGTTGTATTTATGACTCATACCTATGATACATATCTTTGATCCATCAACACTCTACATTCACCAGGATTCACTCAACTGTATGGATCTTCATGACTGACTTGATTCATTTGACCCACAAAATGAGGAGATCATCATCAAAGTGAAAACATGGCTCCTATCTCAGTGCCAAAGAGGACTTTCGGTTTTCTGTTACAACATCGTTGGTTGCAACAAGAGAGTTGTTCAGGGAGGTAACCTTTGCATCAATTGAGGTAATGGCAGTCTTGAGCTCTGTAGTGAAGATTTCTTGCTCAAGTTTGCTTGCACTCCAAGTCTTCAGGTCAGATTTCATGGTTTTGTGTAGATTAGCTACCTGTTGCACATTGATAGGATTCACCATCTGTTGCAGATCTTGAATGATACGATCTTGTTCTTTGATCATATTCTGGATGTGAGTAAACTGAGTGGCCACTTTGTTGAGTGTTGTCTGCTGGCTGTTTAGGTGGTCAGAGAAATTGTTGAGGACCCCTTGTTGATGGTCAAATTTGTCAAGGACAGTTGCTGAGGTTTTGGCCTGAGTGATTTGGTTAAGAAGCTATTCAAAGCGATTGTTAATGGTCTGGACCAAAAAGTGTTTTGCTGATTCATGGGCCCTGTGTTTGGTTGCAAGATCCTTGTGGTCTTTTTCAATGGTGGCGGTACTACACTTTTCCTGGAGAGAGTAATGTTGAGTCTCCAGGGCCTCAAGCTTTTGGGACCACTCCAAGTTTGGAGTCAGAGTATACAGTGTTGGTTGTGAGGATTGTGATGCAGGAGTATCAAAGGTAGGCTTCTTTGTCCAAGCATTTGGTGGAGGTGTGTGTGGAGGAGGAGACATGGGARATGCAGAGATGGAGCTGGGGGGACAGGAAAGCCAAGCAATTGATCCAGGAATTGAGGAGGGACTGCCAATGATGGAAGATACATAGGATTTGGTGTGAAATTTATTGGGGTTGCTTTTAGGAACAGTCTTGAGGAGGCTGTCTATCTGTGCAGAGCTTGGAGGAGGCAAGTTGTGGGTCAATAAATTCCATTCACCTTTAGATTCAGTGGCGTAGGTTGGGTGAATACTGACCACTCCTCATAGTTGGAGTAATTGTTTGTCGATATGACCAAGTGCATTGTGATTGAGAGCGTGGATAATGGTGATTGAGAGTGTGGATAACGGCAATGCAATGAGACTGAAGATAGGGATGTTGTTTGTGGATGGCAGTGGCAAAGGGTTGGTACATAGGGTGTTTTGGAAACGCCCAGGTGGTGTTGACCATCCGAATGAAATTGGAATGCAAACTATCACTCAGTTTACCAAAAATGTATCAGACTAGTGCTTTGTGTGACAATGGACAAGCAACACCAGTGGCACGTGTGCCATGGATTTGTTGTACACCATTCACTAGTCCTTTCCACAAAGGACACACTGTGGTGACCATGACTTCAGGWATAGTGCCATCCCACTTGGAAAGAGCGGGCATTTTGGAAGCAACTTGAGATTCCAACTCCTTCCTGTTTGTATGGAAAAAGGATTGGATTAAAGCATTGAATTTCTTTTGAAGGATAGGCTGAGAAATAGCTTCAGGGTGGTGATTGCCACTGAACCAAACAGCTTCTGTGGTCTGCACTGAGTTAATAATCGYAGTATGTTGAACAATCCAAATGCAATGCTCCTGAAGAGTATCCATAAGAGAACATTTGAAGTTCCAGATAACTCTATCAGTTGAATTGGGTGTCAGTGGGCGTTAAGCCAAAGGGTTTGGTAGACCCGGTGGTCAGTGGAGTTGATGGAATACTCAAAGTGTTGTTTCAAGCTGTTAATAGAACAGRGGTTGGCATAGGAAGCTGCATCAAGGCAATTAATAYGGCAGCTCACTACTAATGTAAATGGAGATGGGACCCCTTCATTGGCCATCAACAACGTATGCAAGGTCTGTGCTAGTGGATGATCAATCGGTTGTGTTTGGGAGGGGTCATTGGTTACCATTGGAGTATCAATACCATGAGAAAAGTCACCAGCAGGCAACTTCCRAGCAACACGCAGAGGAATTAAAGTCTAAGGTTGAATTGCGGAACATTGAGATTTGTACATGAATCATGTTTCATTGTTTAGTGGACCAGTATTTTGGAGGGGCTGCTGTTCAGGGAGGGCAAGTTTCTTGGCCAGGGATGTAAGCTTTGGAACAACCAATGGTGTTGTAGAAACGGATGGACTTGCAGTACTAGTGCTAGCTACAGTGGTAGCCACAGTAGTAGTTGTAGTAGTAGTAGACTCTGTACTGGAGAATGTGACTGCCTTGGGTGTACGTTGTTTAGAGGGAGTGATGGCAGCAGAAGAACATTTACTTCTTTTTGGAATGACCTTGATCCAATCTGTTCCATCTGCTCAAGGGATGTCTTGGTCCATAGTAGGTGATTCAGYAGGAGATACAGTAGAACATAACTTGTCCGTGTTGGACACGTTGTTTTCTGAGGCATTCGTATTTGTATTGGTACTAGTATTGTTCTTGTGTAGCTCATGTGAACGCCCTTCCACTCACTTGGCTGTAKAATCAGTACCAGAAACAAGGACAGAAGAGGAGGTTGAAGTAGAAACAGCATGTGTATTGGTATTTATGAGGGTCTTTGGGATTAAAGACTGTGTATTTAAGGATGGACCCTGGGTATTTAACAGTAGGGCATGTTCAGAGACCCCTTGGGCCTGCTTAGAAACATAAAAACTGCTATTTGGGCCAGGGATATGCCCTTTTGGGGGGGTTGTGCGGACCTGAAGCCAACGATCATGGTGCATATGATCCAGTGGCAATCATAGCAGGGTTCTTCTCTGTGACTGYGGGGGACATTTCCACTGGGTTCTTCTCAGGAGGTGCTTGTACAATACACTTAACAGAGCCAGGGGCAGAACCATTGCATTGAAGGTAGTCATTCAGTGGATCTTCAGGGGACATCTCTGCTGGGCTCTCCAAAGGGGGCATGTCTGAATCTGGCATAGCTCACTTAATGGGGTCATTGGATGAGTTATTCTTCAGGGACTGAGACTCAATGGAGTCATTTGCTTCTGGGTTCTCTAAATTGGGGCTTGTAAGTCACACTTAAGGGACTGTTTTGTTGGGCCTAATGATACTTTGGATTTTTCAAAGGGAAYCGTAACTTCACCTAATACAATCACTTTGGATTCATGACTGACTGGAAGATCACTTAAGGTACTCAGCTTGGTAGTTTGAAGAGCTGCTACTGGTACCATTTCCATGGAGACATCTGGTAGTGTGTCTTTAGTGGTGAGATTTTTCTTCTGTTTGAGTGTGCTGTTCTGGCTGTCCTTGTCATTGGATGGAGGGGGAGAGGAGCCAGGGAGCTGAGTGTCATCAAGGGTGTTGCTTGGGGTCCATTCTGTGTCTAATGTGGAGGAGGGGGCCTCTGTATCCTCTACTGGGGACATCAATTCATCCTCATCCAGGTGCATCAATTCATCCTCATCCGGAGGTATCAATGTGTCCTCAGCCTACAGGAACATCAATGCGTCTTCATCAGGGGACATTGATCCATCCCCAGCTGGTTGCATTGATTCATCAGCATCCTGGATACTAGACTCACCCCCTGAATAACAGGAGAGAGCCTGATCAAGATGAGCCTGGAGGAGGGATGTAGTAGTTGGTGTTGTTGTCGGGTGGTTCTTTTTGTTTTCTTTTCTTTGTTATCAGGGGTTGGTGAATGTGAAGKAGTGGAGGAGCATGAAATTGTGATAGATGCAGGTTGCTTAGCTCTAATGAGCTTAGACTGAAGCTTAGCAGCAACAGCTTGGAGAACAGTGGTTGTGGTCTTCTTCTTAGGAATCATAAGCGTAGTTGTAGGCTCTGGGGTTCTCAGAGGCCTTGTTGGTGCTACTTCTAAAGCAGAGATCTTGGATACTGGTGAAGGAGCTGAAGCCCCGAAGTCCTCCCAGCAGGCCTCTATCATGGTCTGTTTCAATCTAGTAGTAGTGTTGGGCTTCTGAGCTCCTTTAGATGGGCTATGGTTGAAGCTGGAGCCAGATTTGGAGCTGGACTCGGAGCTGTCAAGAAAGGGGATTCCAGAGGTTTTTATTTAAAAGGGTGCCTGGGGGCACCTTTTGTAGAAGGATGCTTGCTGGTGTCTTGGTAGGTCCCTTTAGAGGGGGGTCTTTGGTTGGATCCGGAGGATCCTTGCCCTTTGGTTTGGGCTCGGTCATGGTACCCGGTAGTTGGAAAGTGTGAGTCTCAATTGGCTTGTGTAGAAGCTGGTACTAATTCTGAGTATAATTTTCAATTGAGAATCGTATTGTTGTGCAAAGATGGAGCATAGGGTGCATTTGCAAAGATTTGATTTGGAAATTATAGGATGAGCATATAAACAAAATATTGTYATCCTCAGAGTTGAACTTCAAACCAACAAATCRCGACAAGTGCATGTACCAAACCATGTAGTCAATTACTCATCACAGCACCCTGGTACCTAAGAGACACATCTATAATCCATATACACTCTAGTACATTCACAATTCACTCAATCCTACTATGGATCTTCACGACTAACTTGACTCATTCAATTCACACACATCACTTGACTTTCACTTTGATCAATTTTAGACTCCATAGTTTGTTGATTCTCAACATGAGGGCAGACTCTCTTTTCTTCTAGCATTAGATTCACACCTCTAGTATTACTACTTGATAGTCACTCCCACAGATGCATGGTACTGTTCTCTATCATTATCATCTCTTACACAAAACATTGGTTATGGGAAAATTATTGAAGCATGGAGGGAAACACTGTTTGGTATCATGAATTTGGGTATTTGGCATGATGTTACAGGAGGATGTTGGTTTGGTGATGGAAAGAGAAATTTGAGTTACATTCCACAATCACCATGAAGGGGTAGTATCATACATTACATTGGTATTAAAAGTAACACTACATCCTCTGATTTTGTTCCACATGTCTCCCCTATCTAAATGAAAATTCAAGGCTGCAGCTGCACTAATTCATATATTTTAAATAGCTCTCGTTCAAAGCGTCTTTCAAAGCTTTGCACTTTGACTATGGGAGCAACAAATAGGCCTCCTTTTCAAACTATTCTAAGTGTCCTTTGTATTGGTGTGCTGCTATCCTAGTAGGTGTTGCTGGGTCTTGATGGTGGTATCAGCAGCTCCTTGTCCATATCAGCAGCTTCTCTGTATCAGCAACCAAACTACAAGCACTGTCCTCCTCTGATACAGGGGAACAGGCTCTTATTGCTCTCCACCCCTCCCTAKATCCAGCAAATGAACTACAAACATTTCCTTCTCTGATATGGGAATGGGCTCTTTTCCCTCCCTGGATCCACTACCTMCAACAGCATCTGTATCAGCATCCTCCGCTGTGTCAGCATCCCTATCAGCTCAACCACATCAGCAGCATCCATATCATCAGCTTCTGTATCAGAGCATCTGTATCAGCAAGTGTCTGTAGATTAGCAAGCRACCTCCTCCATATCAGCAAGCTTCTATCAACACATCTGTATCACCAACAGGGCTTCCATATCAGCAACTAGTATTAGCAAGTGTCCTCCATAGCATCAGCATCCTCTGTATCAACAAGTGTCGTCCTTGTTATCAGCAAGCATCCTCTGTATCAGCATTCTCTGTATCAGTAACTCATAATAGCACCACTGTAGATAGCAGTAGAGCAGGAGTACCATGTGATGGTACTAAAAGTAACACCCCATCCTTCAATTTGGTGGCACATGCTGTCCCTATCTAAAAGAAAATTCAAGGTGCACCCCCAAGGATTTTCTTTTTAGATAGGGACAGCAGCACGTGCTACCAAAAGTGAGTTGGAGGCAAGTGAGCTTTTAATTTTCCTATGAGGCTCCTTTTCCTGGACAGCACGTGCCACCAAAATCAGAGGACAAGGTGTTACTTTTAGTACTACCAGATGTAGCAGGCTGATATTTGTCATAGAACAACAGGAAGTCCAACTGCTAGAAAATAGGACTACTAAAGGGAAGTCCCATCCTGGCAAGTTATTGCTGGCAATTGCCACACAAACAATAATACTAAGAGTAGAAGTAGAATTCTTAGCTCATTTTAGTTTCAAAACAAAACTTGCTAGCATACAGTAGGTTTTGCCCTTAGTACCTCTAGGGAAAGGAAAGATAGACATAGGACAATCAACAGACAAATAGCTACCTTGCAAATTGTGATACCCCCAAAATACAATAGCCTTGTACTTCAACAAGCCTTGGCCTCATTCTTGAAAGTATTGCGGTGGAGGACTGCCACAGTAGGATAAGACATGATGTGAAAGAGGAAAGAATCACCCCATTGCCACTGCAAGGGACTCACCACATACACCAAGAGAATCCAGTGAAGATGCAACAACTCACTGCCAAAAAGAATGCACAGCAACTCACAACAAACACAATGCCCTGCCRTTTCTAAACCACATTTGCAACAGGAAAAAGACACACCACCATGATGAAATTCCAACAGAAAGGCTTGCCACAGCAAACAACCCAACTCAGCAAAAGCACTCCCACTTTGCAGACACATGYACAAGCCAAGCAAAAGCACCCCCACCATGCCAACACAATACAAACAAGGGCCAAATGCAAAACAATGACAATTGCTAAATAGAACGCAAAATTTTCCAAACAAACAAACAAACAAACAAACAAACAANCAAACAAACAAACAAACAAACAAACAAACAACAGACAGACCTAACCCCATCAATCCCCAAACACAAACAACTGACCAGCCCACAAAACAAGAAACCCCCTGACACCCCMTGTCACAAAAATGAACAAACAGCAACAAAGAAAAGCCAAAAAATGACAACTTACTAAATTCAGCAACCACCAAGAACAAAAGACAAATTTTGGCAATGCAACCCCAGAAAAAGGCCTGCACTCCCACTCCAACACCACAGCACCCTGGAAACAAACAATCAAGCAAAAACATGCAGAACAATGACAACAATCAACTACAGCAAAGTGCTCACAAGGAAACATTTGTACAAACCAAATTCTCCCAAAGCTTCCACATTGCCAGCATACCAGCCTTTGCCCTTGCTCCTGCAGTCTTTGATGCCCCAGCCAACTGCAAGGTCATCACAATCAAACTTCAGGAAGCACTTGACCCTGCTGACAACAGAAAGTGCCCATAAACCACTGGCCCCAGCAGAACCGAACAAGCCCTAAACAAAAACCGAATCCCCTTCCTCAAACCCCATACAACTGCAAAAGCAAAAACCAAGAGACTCCTGGGATACATCTCATCCTCCCTCCTACTAGACTTCTATTAAATCAACCAACTCCCCACTCACCCCAACAAACTTTGCAGCAACATTATTAATGAGAAAGCAACCCCCCAAACCTCCACAACTGCAAAATGGCTCCAAGCAGCTTGAATACATAAAAACAAGGACCCAGCAACAAGCAACCTCCTCCTTCTTAGCAGCACAACCCCAAACCTCCTGTTCTAAAAAAAACTCTCCACCCAAATGACCAATGACCTAAAAGATCTCTGGCCAAATGAAGCATCAACCCTCATTGACCTACTCATCTCAAAGAATGTCCTCACCCCAGAAACACCCAACCCACCAATCACTYACAAAGAAAACAAAAACACAAACATAAACCACACACACCCAACAAATCACCCTAATGCAAATGGGGGCAACAGATGCACCAGAACCAACACAATTGACCTACTTGCATCACCCAATGGGTCACCACAGCTAACCAACCAACACCACTACCTGTACCAAATGCCACCAGAACCCACCCACAACCAATTCCAAACACCAGCCACACCCCTGCAAAGAAACATTGCACCACCAACAATCACTCCAAACCATCACTCCAAACCATCACAACATACACACCATAGCACAAGACATCCACCACATGCCCCACACAAAACTCTGCCAACTGCTTGCAAACACAACAGCCACCCCAGCACCMAAAGATATCAGCCAAATGAACCTGTATGCCTCCATTATCAACGTACCTAAACCTACTGCCCCAACACAACAAMCAATGACCAACATACAGCTCCTCCACACCATAGGGTAGTCAGGAGTGCCAATCTCCCAGCTCCAGACCTTGTACACCATCACCAACAACACATGGGAACAAATTCAAAACACAAAGAAAAATTGCAAAACAAAAGTAGAACACTTCTTCACAAACCCCTTAAAAATATCATTCCCAAAACTCCAAGGACGCCTCCTATGGTACATGACTGGAAAATAAGCGTTGCCAAGTTCTTCTTTGACCCTGATGCCCACATGCCAGGACAAAACAGCCTAGGACCCATGGCATACATCACAAAAACCACCAAATTAACACCAACAGCACCTCAACACTGAAGCCACTACATTCAGCACCACTGATGTCCTCAGAGCCAAATTAAACACACCAATTGTGCCACACACAATGTACAAGGTAATCAACATTACCAAGAACCAAATACAAGTCCTCACAACCCTATTCACCCCCCACTGTCCCCTAGCATGAGAACTCAAAAAAGTCCATGATATCCTCCAAGCAAACAATGCATCCCTCAGCAGAATATACAACTTCCAATGGGGCATTGCTGCAGAAATCTTCTGGAAACTCACCCTCATGACAGAGACATATTTCTACCACTGGGCAACAGAGCATTCTATGTTCCTCATGTGCTAGAATTGCACCAATTTGATGTTCTGATGGTTCTTGTGTGGGTTGAGTTTGGTGGCAGA